ACCGGACGGATGTCGTAATACCGGCAGGTCTAAACCAGGACTAAACAAGGTCTAAACCAGGTTTAAACCAGGTCTGAAAACCCGATCTAAACCTGATCTGTAGCTTCTGGTTCTTAACCGAGGACTTTTCGATCCTTTCGCACAGATCTTTGTTCTGATTATTTAAGTTTTGGAAACTCTTGATCAGTTCCTGGACACGATTTCAATTTTGGATCGTCTCGTTTTGTTGCTGGTTCTGATTTTCTGAATTTTGGAACCTCTTGATCAGTTCCTGGACACAATCTGAGTTTTGGATCGTCTCGTTTTGTTTCTGGTTCTGATTTTCTAAGTTTTGGATCGTCTCGTTTTGTTGCTTGTTCTGATTTTCTAAGTTTTGGAACCTCTTGATCAGTTCCTGGACACAATCTGAGTTTTGGATCGTCTCGTTTTGTTTCTGGTTCTGATTTTCTAAGTTTTGGATCGTCTCGTTTTGTTGCTTGTTCTGATTTTCTAAATTTTGGATCGTCTCGTTTTGTTGCTTGTTCTGATTTTCTAAGTTTTGGAACCTCTTGATCAGTTCCTGGACACAATCTGAGTTTTGGATCGTCTCGTTTTGTTTCTGGTTCTGATTTTCTGAATTTTGGATCGTCTCGTTTTGTTGCTTGTTCTGATTTTTCTAAGTTTTGGAACCTCTTGATCAGTTCCTGGACACAATCTGAGTTTTGGATCGTCTCGTTTTGTTTCTGGTTCTGATTTTCTAAGTTTTGGATCGTCTCGTTTTGTTGCTTGTTCTGATTTTCTAAGTTTTGGAACCTCTTGATCAGTTCCTGGACACAATCTGAGTTTTGGATCGTCTCGTTTTGTTTCTGGTTCTGATTTTCTAAGTTTTGGATCGTCTCGTTTTGTTGCTTGTTCTGATTTTCTAAGTTTTGGAACCTCTTGATCAGTTCCTGGACACAATCTGAGTTTTGGATCGTCTCGTTTTGTTTCTGGTTCTGATTTTCTAAGTTTTGGATCGTCTCGTTTTGTTGCTTGTTCTGATTTTCTAAATTTTGGATCGTCTCGTTTTGTTGCTGGTTCTGATTTTCTAAGTTTTGGATCGTCTCGTTTTGTTTCTGGTTCTGATTTTCTAAGTTTTGGATCATCTCGTTTTGTTGCTTGTTCTGATTTTCTAAATTTTGGATCGTCTCGTTTTGTTGCTGGTTCTGATTTTCTAAGTTTTGGATCGTCTCGTTTTGTTTCTGGTTCTGATTTTCTAAGTTTTGGATCGTCTCGTTTTGTTGCTTGTTCTGATTTTCTGAATTCTGGATCGTGTCGTTTTGTTGCTGGTTCTGATTTTCTAAGTTTTGGATCGTCTCATGCTGTTGCTGGTTCTTATTTTCTAAGTTTCGGTTCCTCTCGTTTTGTCGCTTGTTCTGATTGTTTAGGATTTGGATCGTCTCGTTTAGTTGCTGGTTCTGATTTTCTAAGTTTCGGATCCTCTTGTGCAGTTCCTGGATCTCAGCCTCTAAGATTTGGCGCTTGACCTTAGGTCGGGATTTTCTAAAAAAACACCAGGGCATTTTTCTGTTTAAATATGCAGTAAAGAGAGAGAAAAGCTCTAGTGAAAACGAGCAGTAGTAGCTCTAGTAGCAGTACACGCAGTAATTGTAGTAGACGCAGTAGTCGTAGTAGACGCAGTAGTCGTAGTACACGCAGTAGAAGTGGCAGTATTCTGTGTCTGTAGTGTTTGTTTCGTGTTATACTTATAATCTTCTTCAAAACAGTAAGTTGCTTTGTGCTTTGTGCTTGTCCTTTACTGATGATGTCATAAAGCAGAGCGCTGCTTTGAAGTAGCAGTAGTAAAAGTATTAGTAAAAGTATTCTGTCACTTTAGTGTTTATTTCACTGTGTCACTCAAAGTTTACTTTAAAGCAGCGTCGTGCTTCTCTGATGATGTCATCAAGCAGAGTTCTATCACCATGGAGATCCAGGGCGGCATTAGAACATCACGTTGCTACGGCGACAGCTTCTCAGGCTCCAAAACTATTTGAGATTCTAGAATGTGACGATGTCATCGTCCCAGAGGGGAGGAGCTAAATCATTTTCCCGGTGATTACGATGTACTTTTCCATCTGTATTAATATTAGATGGAAACCATGGCAACAGAGAGGTGGTCTGCTCTTGTGGAAGCTTTCACATGTTTAATGTTGTTTTTTTATAATTAACAAAACTAGTCGATCTCACCTGGGACAGAAGGGGAGGGGCTTAGATCAGAGAGATCAGGAGTCTAACCCACAACCTCCTGGTGAGAGGGAGGAGACAGGACAACCGCCCGACATCAGAGCGTTTGTGAAAGCAGCGGCTGAAACGTCCCCAACACATTTGCACAACTTCATTGTTTTTGCTGATTCAAGGAAAGTTACTCAGAAAATACTCAGGTAAAGGGGCGGGGCCTCACTGCTCAGGTAAAGGGGCGGGGCCTCACTGCTCAGGTAAAGGGGCGGGGCCTCAGTGCTCAGGTAAAGGGGCGGGTAAAGTCTGACCTGTTCATTTTCAGAAAAGTCCTGGTGTTTGACACAAAGAAATACAAATTGAATTCACACATAATAATAATAACCCAGTTTTGTTTTGTATGTGAACTAGAAGTGCACAGTCTGATCTTTGAACACTGAAGAGTCTCAAAGTGAGTGGTTTTACTGTAGACAGGAAACAGGTGACACAAAGGTCTGCACACAGATCCCGCTTCAGTCTTTGCGATCGGGGATTTAAAGTCTCGTAAGATTCTCCTCGTGTCTGTGGCGTTCGCTTTCTGTCGCACGTTTAAAAATGGTTCCAAATCCTGTAGTGTGTGTCGGCCGTAACTGCTGCTGCGAGCCTCATCGTTCTGCTCTTAAAATGTTCGTATTAATCCGCTCTACGTGATCCCGGGTTTTTCATTTTGCTGTTTTGTCTGTAAATTGATTCCTAAAATGCTGCTCTGAATTCTCCCCTGTAACCGCAGGCGTTGATGAGCTTCATTTGACTGGAGCCGAGCGATTTCTTTACAATCTGTGGACGTCTAAAGAGGAAAAGGACTCCGGATTTCAGCATTTTCAGTTTGTATTTTGGATTTAGATGTGAGTCATTTATCATTGAAAGACAAACAGACTGTGAGTAAAACACAGTGATAATAATTAAAATGAAATGTGAAGTTTTTGAGGCGCCTATGTTCTATTTTTGTCATAATTACACCAGGGATTCGGGACATAAGCCTCTGCCGTGTCCTGTTTTACATTAGTCCTGGTTCAGTTCTGGTTCAGTCCTGGTTTAGTCCTGGTTCAGTTCTGGTTCAGTCCTGGTTTAGTCCTGGTTTAGTCCTGGTTTAGTCACATCAGGACTTGTCACTTTTTAGTTCTCTCCTTGTCTCCATCTCCTCTTTATCCCTCTTCTCTTCCTCTGTCTTCATCTCTATGTAGTGGGAGGGCATCTGACACACACACACATACACACACACACACATACACACACACACACACACACACACACACACACACACACACACACACACACTGACACATTTACACATAAAAACATGAACCTGAAGTTCCACAAACCTTCAGCGACGCTTCAGACGATGTGAAAAAGTTCTATAAACTGTCACACGTCACATATTTAAATCTCCATGTTCCTTTTATTGTGTTGAAAATGTTTTATTCGCCCAAAACAACAGATTTACAGGTTTTATAAGTTTCTGAGTCTCTCCTCCCTTTGCTCTCCGCTCTAAGTCCTTCCCCCTTCAGAGCTCTATCAGGTTTGTCGTGTCGCTGTGTTCAGTTTTGTGTTGGACGAGAGACTCTAAAACCTCTTCAGACGAGTTTGTGATGAGGATCAACAGTGGAGTATTTGTAGTACCTGTTGTTGGTGCGTAGTACTCGCAGTATTTGTAGTACCTGTTGTTGGTGCGTAGTACTCGCAGTATTTGTAGTACCTGTTGTTGGTGCGTAGTACTCGCAGTATTTGTAGTACCTGTTGTTGGTGCGTAGTACTCGCAGTATTTGTAGTACCTGTTGTTGGTGCGTAGTACTCGCAGTATTTGTAGTACCTGTTGTTGGTGCGTAGTACTCGCAGTATTTGTAGTACTGTTGTTGGTGCGTAGTACTCGCAGTATTTGTAGTACCTGTTGTTGGTGCGTAGTACTCGCAGTATTTGTAGTACCTGTTGTTGGTGCGTAGTACTCGCAGTATTTGTAGTACCTGTTGTTGGTGCGTAGTACTCGCAGTATTTGTAGTACCTGTTGTTGGTGCGTAGTACTCGCAGTATTTGTAGTACCTGTTGTTGGTGCGTAGTACTCGCAGTATTTGTAGTACCTGTTGTTGGTGCGTAGTACTCGCAGTATTTGTAGTACCTGTTGTTGGTGCGTAGTACTCGCAGTATTTGTAGTACCTGTTGTTGGTGTGCGTAGTACTCGCAGTATTTGTAGTACCTGTTGTTGGTGCGTAGTACTCGCAGTATTTGTAGTACCTGTTGTTGGTGCGTAGTACTCGCAGTATTTGTGTAGTACCTGTTGTTTGGTGTGTAGTACTCGCAGTATTTGTAGTACCTGTTGTTGGTGTGTAGTACTCGCAGTATTTGTAGTACCTGTTGTTGGTGCGTAGTACTCGCAGTATTTGTAGTACCTGTTGTTGGTGTGTAGTACTGTATTTGTAGTACCTGTTGTGTGTAGTACTCGCAGTATTTGTAGTACCTGTTGTTGGTGCGTAGTACTCGCAGTATTTGTAGTACCTGTTGTTGGTGTGTAGTACTCGCAGTATTTGTAGTACCTGTTGTTGGTGTGTAGTACTCGCAGTATTTGTAGTACCTGTTGTTGGTGCGTAGTACTCGCAGTATTTGTAGTACCTGTTGTTGGTGTGTAGTACTCGCAGTATTTGTAGTACCTGTTGTTGGTGTGTAGTACTCGCAGTATTTGTAGTACCTGTTGTTGGTGTGTAGTACTCGCAGTATTTGTAGTACTTTGCTGTTGTTGATATTCTTCTTGTTGTAGTTGTCGGGCGAGTTCAGCGTCGCTCAGAGCCACAGGGTCTCCCCCCCCCTGCTGCAGGGACACGGCCACCAGGAAGTCCTACAAGTACACGAGTATTACCACAAATACTACTACCACTGCAGACAGTACTACTGCCCTGTGTGGAGGTACTGAGTACTTCTACAGATGACATCATCATAGTCACAATCTAAACCAACAGTACTGCAAATACTGCAAATACTTGTACTGCCTGGGTCCCTGTAGACCGGTTGTAGTCCGGGTCTCACCTGGTCTATCTGTGCGGCTGTAGACCGGTTGTAGTCCGGGTCTAGGCGGGTCCCTGTAGTCCGGTTATAGTCCTGGCTCTTCTGGAAGAGTCTGAAGTTGGAGTCGCAGAAGTTTCCGTCTCCTTCCACGTTATGAAGAGACTCCCAGACCACACGCTCCTCAGACTGGAAACCCTGATCTGTCACCAGCAGGTACAGGTGACCCTGGGGTCAGAGGTCAGAGGTCAGAGCAGGTACAGGTGACCCTGGGGTCAGAGGTCAGACTGGGTTTAGTCCAGATAAACTCTGTGTTGTTTTTAAAATAAAGGTTTGTTTTTTCATGTTTGTGAATTATATTAATATTTCAGACCAAGTCTGGACCTCATGCCTGGTCCTGGTTCAGTCCTGGTTCAGTCCAGGTTTAGTCCTGGTTCAGACCTGGTGCTTGGTCCTGGTTTAGTCCTGGTTCAGACCTGGTGCTTGGACCTGGTTTAGACCTGGTTTAGACCTGGTTTAGACCTGGTTTAGTCCTGGTTTAGTCCTGGTTCAGACCTGGTGCTTGGTCCTGGTTTAGTCCTGGTTCAGACCTGGTGCTTGGACCTGGTTTAGACCTGGTTTAGACCTGGTTTAGACCTGGTTTAGACCTGGTTTAGACCTGGTTTAGTCCTGGTTCAGACCTGGTGCTTGGTCCTGGTTTAGACCTGGTTTAGACCTGGTTTAGTCCTGGTTTAGTCCTGGTTTAGTCCTGGTTCAGACCTGGTGCTTGGTCCTGGTTTAGACCTGGTTTAGACCTGGTTTAGACCTGGTTTAGACCTGGTTTAGACCTGGTTTAGTCCTGGTTTAGTCCTGGTTCAGACCTGGTGCTTGGTCCTGGTTTAGACCTGGTTTAGACCTGGTTTAGACCTGGTTTAGACCTGGTTTAGTCCTGGTTCAGACCTGGTGCTTGGTCCTGGTTCAGTCCTGGTTCAGTCCTGGTGCTTGGTCCTGGTTTAGTCCTGGTTTAGTCCTGGTTCAGACCTGGTGCTTGGTCATGGTGCTGAAGTGGTTGTTTCTGAAGAACACACAGATCTCTCCCTCTGAGGCGGTGGACGTGAGCTCACACAGGCCGTGGTACGACAACTGAGACGCCGTGGACTCCAGGAACTGCTCCGCCACCAGACCTGAGGGTCAGAGGTCACACACAGGGGTCACACACAGGGGTCACACAGGGGTCATACAGATAATTTTAGAATTAAACGTTTGTAGATTAAATGCTTCATAAACTAGTAATATTTGTGCTGTGGCCCAGGCCTCCACACAGACCCTGCAGCTGTTCCCTCCACAGACCCGCAGCTGTTCCCTCCACAGACCCCGCAGCTGTTCCCTCCACAGACCCCGCAGCTGTTCCCTCCACAGACCCGCAGCTGTTCCCTCCACAGACCCGCAGCTGTTCCCTCCACAGACCCGCAGCTGTTCCCTCCACAGACCCGCAGCTGTTCCCTCCACAGACCCGCAGCTGTTCCCTCCACAGACCCTGCAGCTGTTCCCTCCACAGACCCGCAGCTGTTCCCTCCACAGACCCGCAGCTGTTCCCTCCACAGACCCTGCAGCTGTTCCCTCCACAGACCCGCAGCTGTTCCCTCCACAGACCCGCAGCTGTTCCCTCCACAGACCCTGCAGCTGTTCCCTCCACAGACCCGCAGCTGTTCCCTCCACAGACCCCGCAGCTGTTACCTTCAGAGACCTTGCAGCTGTTCGCTGAGTGTTTACAGTCGATGATCTTTTCCACGAGTTGATTATAACTGAGTTTCCCGACAGCCGCCACCGCCTCCGGACTCTGAGGAGAGAAAATGGGTTTAGACCGGCTTTAGACCAGGTCTCGGTTCAGTCCTAGATCAGTCCCGGTCCTGGTCTGGTCCTGGTTTAGTCCTGGTCCAGTCCTGGTCCTGGTCCGGTACCTGTGGGTCCAGGAGCCAGCCGTGGTACAGGGCGATGTCCAGTAGGTCGAACACGATGCATTCAGGGGTGTACTCGAAATCACAGACTCCGGTGAAACGCACGTTCACGTCTAAACCCGTGCACAGTTTGGGCAGCACGGCCATCGCGTCACTCATGTTCTACAGACAGGTGAGACAGGTGAGACAGGTGAGACAGGTGACAGGTGACACAGGTGACACAGGTGAGACAGGTGAGACAGGTGAGGCAGGTGAGACGGGTGAGGCAGGTGAGACGGGTGAGACGGGTGAGACAGGTGAGACAGGTGACACAGGTGAGGCAGGTGAGACAGGTGAGGCAGGTGACACAGGTGACACAGGTGAGACAGGTGAGGCAGGTGAGGCAGGTGAGACAGGTGACACAGGTGAGGCAGGTGAGACAGGTGACACAGGTGACACAGGTGAGGCAGGTGAGACAGGTGACACAGGTGAGGCAGGTGAGACAGGTGAGGCAGGTGAGGCACGTGAGACAGGTGACACAGGTGAGGCAGGTGAGACGGATGAGGCAGGTGAGGCACGTGAGACAGGTGAGACAGGTGAGACGGATGAGGCAGGTGAGACAGGTGACACAGGTGAGGCAGGTGAGACAGGTGACACAGGTGAGGCAGGTGAGACAGGTGAGACAGGTGACACAGGTGAGGCAGGTGAGACAGGTGACACAGGTGAGGCAGGTGAGACAGGTGACACAGGTGAGGCAGGTGAGACAGGTGACACAGGTGAGACAGGTGAGGCAGGTGAGACAGGTGAGACAGGTGACACAGGTGAGGCAGGTGAGACAGGTGACACAGGTGAGACAGGTGAGGCAGGTGAGGCAGGTGACACAGGTGAGACAGGAGAGACAGGTGAGACAGGTGACACAGGTGAGGCAGGTGACACAGGTGAGGCAGGTGACACAGGTGAGACAGGTGACACAGGTGACACAGGTGAGAGACAGGAGAGACAGGAGAGACAGGTGAGGCAGGTGAAACAGGTGAGGCAGGTGACAGAGGTGAGGCAGGTGAGACGGGTGAGGCAGGTGAGACGGGTGACACAGGTGAGACAGGTGAGGCAGGTGAGGCAGGTGACACAGGTGAGACAGGAGAGACAGGTGAGACAGGTGAGGCAGGTGACACAGGTGAGGCAGGTGACACAAGTGACACAGGTGACACAGGTGAGGCAGGTGAGACAGGTGAGACAGGTGAGACAGGTGAGGCAGGTGAAACAGGTGAGGCAGGTGACAGAGGTGAGGCAGGTGAGACGGGTGAGGCAGGTGAGACGGGTGACACAGGTGAGACAGGTGAGGCAGGTGAGGCAGGTGAGGCAGGTGAGGCAGGTGTGACACAGGTGAGGCAGGTGAGGCAGGTGAGACAGGTGAGGCAGGTGAGGCAGGTGAGACAGGTGAGACAGGTGAGGCAGGTGAGACGGGTGAGACGGGTGAGGCAGGTGAGACAAGTGAGGCAGGTGACACAGGTGAGACAGGTGACACAGGTGAGGCAGGTGAGGCAGGTGAGGCAGGTGAGGCAGGTGAGGCAGGTGAGACAGGTGAGGCAGGTGAGGCAGGTGACACGGGTGAGACGGGTGAGGCAGGTGAGGCAGGTGAGACAGGTGAGACAGGTGAGGCAGGTGAGACAGGTGAGACAGGTGAGGCAGGTGAGGCAGGTGAGACAGGTGAGGCAGGTGAGACAGGTGAGACAGGTGAGGCAGGTGAGACAGGTGAGGCAGGTGAGGCAGGTGAGACAGGTGAGGCAGGTGAGGCAGGTGAGGCAGGTGACACGGGTGAGACGGGTGAGGCAGGTGAGACAGGAGAGACAGGTGAGACAGGTGACGCAGGTGAGGCAGGTGACACAGGTGAGGCAGGTGACACAAGTGACACAGGTGAGACAGGTGACACAGGTGAGGCAGGTGAGACAGGTGAGGCAGGTGAGGCAGGTGACACAGGTGAGGCAGGTGAGACAGGTGAGGCAGGTGACACAGGTGACACAGGTGAGGCAGGTGACAGAGGTGAGGCAGGTGAGACGGGTGAGGCAGGTGAGACGGGTGAGGCAGGTGAGACAGGTGAGGCAGGTGAGACAGGTGAGGCAGGTGAGGCAGGTGACACGGGTGAGGCAGGTGAGGCAGGTGAGACAAGTGAGGCAGGTGACACAGGTGAGACAGGTGACACAGGTGAGGCAGGTGAGACAGGTGAGACAGGTGAGGCAGGTGAGGCAGGTGAGACAGGTGAGGCAGGTGAGGCAGGTGACACGGGTGAGACGGGTGAGACGGGTGACACAGGTGAGGCAGGTGAGACAGGTGAGACAGGTGAGGCAGGTGAGACAGGTGAGACAGGTGAGGCAGGTGAGACAGGTGAGACAGGTGAGGCAGGTGAGGCAGGTGAGACAGGTGAGACAGGTGAGGCAGGTGAGACAGGTGAGACAGGTGAGGCATAGAAACAAGGAAGAAACATCAAATGAAGGTCAGGGTGCCGGCAGTGACAGGAGGCACAGGACACTTCTGTAAACAGTGAGTTTGGAGCACAGAGGCTGAAGGATTAAATATGTCCAGACACTGTGAGGACGCTGTGGGGACACTGTTGGGACACTGTGGGGACACTGTGAGGACGCTGTGGGGACACTGTTGGGACACTGTGGGGACACTGTGAGGACGCTGTGGGGACACTGTGAGGACGCTGTTGGGACACTGTGGGGACACTGTGAGGACGCTGTGGGGACACTGTGAGGACGCTGTTGGGACACTGTGAGGACGCTGTTGGGACACTGTGGGGACACTGTTGGGACGCTGTGAGGACGCTGTGGGGACACTGTGAGGACGCTGTGAGGACGTGTGCAGCGGATGGAGGACGTACCTGCTGGAAGTTTAGCTCCACCCCTTTGCTCTTCTCTCTGGGCGTGACCGACAGAACGCACTCACCTGTACAGACAGAGAGAGGCCTGTGATTGGACGAGAGCAGAGACACCTATCTGAAGCTGCGCTGTGATTGGCTGACGCTTACCCAGGTGAGTCATCAGGTCCTCTGTGGTCACCACCTCAGTCTGAGCGGGCAACTTCGCCTGAAACACACCAGAGGGTCAGAGAGGGTCAGAGGGGCAGAAGGGGTCAGAGAGGGGCAGAGAGGGTCAGAGGAGGTCAGACGGGGTCAGAGGGGGAGAGGGTCAGAGGGGGTCAGATGGGGTCAGAGGGGCAGAGAGGGTCAGACGGGGTCAGAGGGTCAGAGAGGGTCAGAGGGTCAGAGGGGGTCAGACGGGGTCAGAGGAGGATAGGGTCAGAGGAGGAGAGGGTCAGAGGGGGTCAGAGGGTCAGAGGGGGTCAGAGAGGGGTCAGACGGGGTCAGAGGGTCAGAGAGGGTCAGAGGAGGATAGGGTCAGAGGAGGAGAGGGTCAGACGGGGTCAGAGGGGGTCAGACGGGGTCAGAGGGTCAGAGGAGGTCAGAGAGGGTCAGAGGAGGATAGGGTCAGACGGGGGTCAGAGGTCAGACGGGGTCAGAGAGGGTCAGAGGGTCAGAGGAGGATAGGGTCAGAGGGGGTCAGAGGGTCAGAGGATCACCTTCCAGCGCAGAAACAGTGTGTTCATGATGGCCAGCAGGGGGCAGGGTCCGTTCTGACTCTGGGTGATGATCGGAGTTCGTTCGTCTTTCCACGTGATCCACTTCACCAGGTACACCTCCTGTGGCGCCGCCCCCTGTGACCCCGCCCCCACAGGCCCCAGGCCCCCACAGGCCCCCGCCCCCGCCGCGGCAGAGGGAGGGGCTGAGGACGTGGTGGTGGGAGGGGCTACATCTGCGGAAGGCGGGGTTACGGAGGGGGGAGGTGCTTCTGTGGCTTTGGGAGGAGCTTCGGCGCATGTGGGCGTGTCTGAAGAGGAAGGGGGCGTGGTTATCGACGGGGAGGGCGGGGCTGCAGCGGCACTTTCTGAGAAATCTGAAACGAGAGGCTCATGTGTTCATCTGTTATGAACATTAAACCAGACCTCAAGTGTTTATGTGTGTGTCTACAGCTCTGACCCCTGACCTCTGACCCCTGACATTTTAAATCTCAATATTGATCTAAAACCACTTCATAAATAAAACAAGTGCGACGACTTTGGCGTTAGAAAACTGTGGTGTTCAACAGAGCTGATGTGGCCGTAAACGTCATGACAACAAAGAACCACATGGACCAAACCAGGACTAAACCAGGACTGAACCAGGACTAAACCAGGACTGAACCAGGATTAAACCAGAACCGAACCAGAACCGAACCAGGACCGAACCAGGACCGAACCAGGACCGAACCAGGACCGAACCAGGACCGAACCAGGACCGAACAAGGACTGAACCAGGACTACACATTTTTTACATTTGAAGAAAAAAAACAACAACGTGACACCGCCCAATCCGTGCGCTCGTGTTGAAATCAAGACCACAGGGTCCCGAGACCAGGACAAGACCGAGACCATGGCCCACTGAGACCATCTCTGTCATTTCCTATATGAATTTTTCTGTATTTTACAGTGATTTTGGAAAATGTTTATATAAATCTGTCTTCATTTTATCTGATTAATGTTCATTTAAGTTTAAAATAAAACAAACAAACTGTTCTGCTCTGAAACTCGTCTTTAAAAAAACTTCCACTGAAACTTTACACAAAACAACTTCAGAGTGAATCAAGTGAGTTTTTTCACGTTCATCACATTTACACTCACATTCTCTCTGGTTTTACAGAGACACTGAGACTCTGCACATTTACAGACCGAAACATGATCAATGTTGAGTGTCAGACCTCAAGACTGAGACAAAACCCAGACCAAGCACCTTCAAGACCCAGACAAGACAAAGGCCAAATGCGCTCGAGTCCAAGACAAGAGCAAGACCATAAAAAACAAAAAAGTGTCCCTGGCCCAGTCTCAAGACCAAAACCGGTCTTCAGTACAACGACACTAGTGTGGACGTGACAGAGGGTCAACGGGGGCAGAGCAACAAAACTGTGTGTGGAAAATAAGAGATTAAAGTTTCCTCAAACACAAATCCAAAGAAACGAGAACATGAAGGAACATCTGAGGAGAACAGGTTCTGTTTCATGTGAAGGCTCCAGTAATTCCAGAAAACCTGAACCAGGTCACACTTCTGCACCTGCCACAGCAAATTGCACCTGCCACTCTCACCTGTCTTTGAGCCCTCTCCCTCCTCGTCTCTCAGCGGGGGCTCCGGCGTCAGCCCGCCCACCGTGGTGATGTCGTCCGTGGTGATGTCATCTGTAGTGATGTCGTTGGTGGTGATGTCGTCGGTGATGATGTCGTCGGTGATGTCGTCGTCGGTGAGGCTGGGGAAGGAGGCGGAGTCAGTGGAGTGCAGTTCGTCTGAGGGCGTCATGGCGGAGCTCTCCTCCACACACAGCCTCACCTCTGCACAGAACAACAACATCAGGAACAGAGACGCTGAGTACGACTGGAGATAAAACACCCACCTGACTCCGCCCTCTCTGCTGCAGGCTCCTCCCCTTTCACTCGGGCAGGAAGTGCGGTGTCCCCTTCGCCGTGGAGACGGTCAGCCGACACCTGAGGGCTCTCCATGATTGGACGCCCTCGGTCAAACCCCGCCCCCCGCTCCTGACGTTTGTTTTGGTTCAACTTTGGAGGAAAAACAGGATCCAGACGAACTTTGACCCCGACCCCGAGCGTGACCCCACGAGGCGCCGACAAAATCTGAAACAACAGAAAATACAGTTTGAACAAATTTAAAAAATAAACTAAACGTGAAATGTCCCATAATCCTCTGCTCTGCTCTAATGTGGTTTCACACACAAACCTGCACATTTAACAAAACAAAACACTCTGTTCCACCTTGTGATGTCATCATGTGGTGATACAGGAAATGCTCCACTGTGTTTTTAAACTCCACACTTCACATTCACTAGAATCATCTGGATCATTTCAGTCCTGGAGTCACTTTAATGATCTCTAAGGTAAAAAAACAAAACGAGCTGTTCACTTGAAAAACTACCACTTCATGACATCACAGAGTGGAACATGTTGAGGTTTAGAGCTGTAGACTCCAGGTGCGTCTCTGAGGAGGTCACAGCGTTAGAACCAGAGCTGGGATCAGTCAGACGTCATTGATACGATACATACAGAGCAGTTGTGATTCGATACGATATATTTCAAATCGATTCGATATGGTTCAATAAAAATAAAGTCTAAATCGTGTGTTAATAAAAGTCTTTGTTAAATCATTTCTTCATCTGAAACACAAATATTTAAAAATGTCAAATGTGTCACACAAACGAGTTTCCTCTGAACAAACAACAAAACTGGAACTAAATCAGTCAATAGTCAAATAAACCAAAAAATCCTCTAGTGAAATATCAATACAGCAGAACACGATATCGATACTGCATCAGCACATTAAACGATACGATATATCGATATTTAGATATTTTTGCACAGTCTGAGTCAGATCGTGTTTTCAGTGGAACACAGGAGCTTTAATTATCATTCCTAAAGGTAATCAGAGCCACTCCTCACACGTCTGCCAAACGAGATCACGTCAAATCAAAGAATTACACCTGCCCCTGCGCCTGCCCCTTGCGCCTGCCCCTGCGCCTGCCCCTGCGCCTGCACCTGCGCCTGCCCCTGCACCTGCGCCTGCCCCTGCCCCTGCACCTGCGCCTGCCCCTGCACCTGCGCCTGCCCCTGCGCCTGCCCCTGCACCTGCGCCTGCCCCTGCCCCTGCACCTGCGCCTGCCCCTGAATCAAAATCACAAAAGTTCTTTCCTCCATAAACAACTTTCCCCCGTCTCATTCTGCATAAAAACGTCTGACCCTGGAGTTTAGACGCTACAAACACGTCCTGAAATGTCCCCGTGTGTGTCAGGTCCCCTCCCCGTGTGTGTCAGGTCCCCTCCCCCTGTGTGTCAGGTCCCTCTTCGTGTGACCCTGAGTTGTGAAATGTGAAATCTGAACAGAATCTTGCAATTCTTAAAACACAAATCAGCCAAAGCTCATTTAACCAGGTTCAGTCCAGGTTCAGTCCTGGTTTAGACCTGATTTAGGCCTGGTTTAGTTCTGGTTCTGTCCCGTGTTGCTCTGTGTGTGTGTTGAGTTTGTTTTTCTGATTTATTTAGAGCAGAAGTGCAGAGTCACAGTTCTGGTCCCAAACACTAAAACCTGAACAACACAACAGAATCTACACAATCTACAGTCTCTGTCCCCGGACCCGCCCGGATCCGCCCGGACCCGCCCGGACCCGCACGCTTCAGCCCAGAACACTACAGTAAAAGTAAAAATACTTCCTCAGAACCGGCTCGGTCCAAACTCCTGTGAGCAGCTGTTACACAAACAAACAGCTCCTGAACTTCCTCACATTCACAGAACCGAGCTGTCCCGGTCCACACGGGTCCACACGGGTCCACACGGGTCCGCACGGGTCCGCACGGGTCCTCGCGGGACTCCTGAGCCGGTTTTGTAGGTAAATGAGCCGCGGTTCGGGCTCGGTTCTCCCGCGCGGCTCTGAGCAGCTTTAGCTTTAGCACGGTTAGCCTTTAGCTTAGCATTAGCTTTAGCGGAGTCCCAGACAAACAGCGGGACTCCGGAGACACACACACCGGGGGACAGGCCCTCTGCCCCGGCCACACTCAGCCCCACAGCCCGGCCCGACCCCCGCGGCTCACCGGCCCCTGGAGCTCCGGGACACAGCGGGACAGAGACGGGGACAGGCTCCGGTTCAGGCTCCGGTTCGGGCTCCGGTTCGGGCTCCGGTTCGGGCTCTGGTTCGGTTCGTGTCCGGGTTCGTGTTCGGGGCTGTTTACATTCCGCTGTCACCGGGACGCGCTACGTCACTTCCGGGGGCGGGGCGCGGGGGAAGATTTGCGAATAAAAGTGAAATATTTAAATAAAACAAAAGAAAGTTTTGTAGTTAAAGGTTCTGTTTTAATCAGAACTGACCCCGTGAACTTTTATTCATTTGTGAATAAATACAAATAAACGAGTGAGTGTGAACAGGAGGATCATGGGGGATATTTCAGCAGACGCGTTGTAAACAATAAAACAGTTCACATGAAAAACTTTACTCCGACACTCTGAACACACACACTGAACACACACTGAACACACACTCTGAACACACACTCTGACACACACACACTCTGACACTGAACACACACTGAACACACACTCTGAACACACACTCTGAACACACACTCTCTGAACACACACTCTGACACACACACACTGAACACACACTGCAAACACACACTCTGAACACACACACACACTGAACACACACTCTGAAACACACACTGACACACACACACACTGACACACACACTACACACACACACTGACACTCTGACACACACACTCTGAACACACACTCTGAACACACACTCTGAAACACACACTGACAACACACACACTGAACACACACTGAACACACACTGAACACACACACACACACTGAACACAACACACTCTGAACACACACACTGACACACACACACTGACACACACACACACTCTGACACACTCACACACACTACACTGACAACACACACTCTGAACACACACTCTGAACACACACACACACACTGACACACACACACTGACACACACACACTCTGAACACACACTCTGAAACACACACTCTGAACACACACACTCTGAACACACACTGAACACACACTCTGACACACACACACACACACTGAACACACACTCTGAACACACACTCTGACACACACACACACTCTGAACACACACTCTGAACACACACTCTGACACACACACACTGAACACACTCTGAACACACACACACACACTGAACACACACACTGAACACACACACACACACACACTCTGAACACACACTCTGAACACACACTGAACACACACTGAAACACACTCTGAACACACACTCTGAACACACACTCTGAACACACACTCTGAACACACACTCTGAACACACACACTGAACACACTCTGAACACACACTCTGAACTCACACACTCTGAACACACACTCTGAACACACAACACACTCTGAACACACACTCTGAACACACACTCTGAAACACACACACTCTCTGAACACACACTCTGAACACACACTCTGAACACACACACTGACACACACCACTGAACACACACACTCTGACACACACACTCTGACACACTGAACACACACTCTGAACACACACTCTGAACACACACTGAACACACACTCTGAACACACACTCTGAACACACACTCTGAACACACACACACACTCTGAACACACACACTCTGAACACACACTCTGAACACACACACTCTGAACACACTCTGAACACACACTCTGAACACACACTCTGTAACACACACACACACTCTGAACACACACTGAACACACACTCTGAACACACACTCTGAACACACACTCTCTCTGAACACACACTCTGACACACACACACACTCTGAACACACACTCTGAACACACACTCTGAACAACACACACACTCTGCACACACACTGAACACACACTCTGAACACACACTCTGAACACACACTCTGAACTGACACACACTCTGAACACACACTCTGAACACACACTCTGACACACAAACACACACTCTGAACACACACACTGAACACACACTCTGAACACACACTCTGACACACACTCTGAACACACTCTGAAACACACACTCTGACACACACTCTGAACACACACTCTGAACACTGAACACACACTCTGACACACTCTGAACACACACTCTGAACACACACTCTGAACACACACACTGAACACACACTCTGAACACACACTGAACACACACTGAACACACACTGAACACACACTGAACACACACTCTGAACACACACTCTGAACACACACTCTGAACACACTGAACACACACTCTGAACACACACTCTGAACACACACTCTGAACACACACACACACTCTGAACACACACTCACACACTCTGACACACTCACACACACACACACTCTGAAACACACACTAACACTGAAACACACTCTGAACACACACTCTGAACACACACTCTGAACACACACTCTGAACACACTGAACACACTCTGAACACACACTCTGAACACACACTCTGAACACACACACACACTCTGAACACACACTCTGAACACACACTCTGAACACACACTCTGAACACACACACTGAACACACTCTGAACACACACTCTGACACACACACACACTCTGAACACACACACTGAACACACTCTGAACACACACTCTGAAACACACACTCTGAACACACACGAACACACTCTGAACACACACTCTGAACAACTGAACACACACTGAACACACACTCTGAACACACACTCTGACACTCTGAACACACACTCTGAACAACACACACTCTGAACACACACACTGAACACACACTCTGAACACACACTGAACACACACTCTGAACACACACTCTGAACACACACTCTGAAACACACTCTGAACACACACTCTGAACACACACTCTGAACACACACTCTGAACACACACTCTGAACACACACTCTGAACACACACTCTGAACACACACTCTGAACACACACACTCTGAACACACACTCTGAACACACACTCTGAACACACTCTGAACACACACACACTGAAACACTCTGAACTGAACACACTCTGACACACACACACACACACTCTGAACCACACTCTGAACACACACTCTGAACACACACTCTGAACACACTCACACACACACACTCTGACAACACACACTCTGAACACACTCTGAACACACACTCTGAACACACTCTGAACACACACTCTGAACACACACTCTGAACACACACACACTCTGGACACACACTCTGACACACACACTCTGAAACACACTCTGAACACACTCTGGACACACTCTGAACACACACACTGAACACACACACTGAACACACTCTGAACACACACTGAACACACACACTGACACACACTCTGAACACACACTCTGAACACACACTCTGAACACACACTCTGAACACACACTCTGAACACACACTCTGAACACACACTTCTGAACACACACTCTGAACACACACTCTGAACACACTCTGAACACACACTCTGAACACACACTCTGAACACACACTCTGAACACACACTCTGAACACACACTCACACACACTCTGAACACACACTCTCTGAACACACACTGTGAACACACACTCTGAACACACACTCTGAACACACACTCTGAACACACTCTGAACACACACTCTGAACACACACTCTGGACACACACTCTGAACACACACTCTGAACACACTCTGAACACACTCTGGGCACACTCTGAACACACTCTGAACACACACACTGAACACACTCTGAACACACACTCTGAACACACACTCTGAACACACACTCTGAACACACTCTGAACACACTCTGAACACACTCTGAACACACACTCTGAACACACACTCTGAACACACAACACACACACACACACTCTGAAACACACTCTGAACACACTCTGAACACACACTCTGAACACACACTCTGAACACACGCTCTGAACACACTCTGAACACACACTCTGAACACACACTCCAATTCTCCCTTTGTGATGTCATGAGCAGCAGTGTTGTGAAGGTGACTTTTCAAATGTAATCCCCTACAGATTACAGATTACACACCCCAAAATGTAGTTTGTAACGGAATCCATTAAATTACTTAAAGTGAGTAATGTAATCTGATTACTTTGGATTACTTGATTTGTTGTAGAGAAACAAAGACGAGGAAATCTTCACATAAGAAGTTTTGTCTGATAAAAGAAAATAAAAAGTCCAAACTTTACTGAACCAAATTAAAAAATATTATTGATAGAAAACGAAGAAACACGTCCACACAGCAGGATTTAGACCTGTTCAATCCTGGTTTAGACCTGGTTTAGTCCTGGTTTAGACCTGGTTTAGTTCTGGTTTAGACCTGGTTTAGTTCTGGTTTAGATCTAGTTTAGATTCTGGCAATGAGTGGACAAAAAGAAAAAATGGGGATTTAGCCCAAAAATGTGAAAACAGGAAAATCCCGCAGTGTAATCCATTTATTTTAACAAAGTAACTGTAATCCAATTACCACTCAGTGAAACAGTAACTGTAACTGAATACAGTTACTCATCATTTGTACTCTGATTACTTAACTCCAGTACATGTAATCTGTTACTCCCCAGCGCTGCTCATGAGGTGTTAGTTTCAGCTCCTTTTCTCTTTAGTTGAGTCGAGATCGACGACTCCACGACTGAAACGATCCACATGATTCTAGTGAAGGTGAAGTGTGGAGTTTAAAAACACAGTGGAGCACTTCCTGTATCACCACATGATGACATCACGAGGTGGAGCAGAGTGTTTCCAGTGGAGGAGGAGGAGGAGGAGGAGGCTGTTGTGTCAAACGTGACTCTTGGGTGTGTTTAGTGACTTGTTGTTGAATCTTTTGTGTTTTTAATTAGACACTTGAAGTTCACGTGTTTTTACTTCAGCAGCAGCAGCAGCACGAGGCTCAACTTTTACTCACCACAGAGTCAACTGGACTCAAACAACAAGTGTTTTATTATTGTCTGACACCTGCTGAAACGTTTGAACTGTTAATGTTTTATTCATTTTATTATTCTTTTTTTTTTTTCATCAAGGTCAAAGTTTAAGCAAATAAAAATACACAAATAAAACCGTCTGGAGAAGTGAGCAGTTGAGTCGTTGTTCAGTCGTTGTTCAGTCGTTGTTCAGTCGTTGTTCAGTCGTTGTTCAGTCGTTGTTCAGTTCTTGTTCAGTTCTTGTGAATCACAGACTCCAGTTGGTTCTTTTACTCCAAACCAACTGAATCTGCTCCA